TGGACCGCCTAGGCGGCCGCCTAGCCCGCCTAGACGGCGCCTAGCCCAATTTTTTTTTTTTTTTTTTTTTTAAACTTTTTTTTTTCATCTAAAATTCAAAACGTCCTACTTATGTTCGTAATTTGTATAAAAATCATAAATTTGAAATTAAAATCTTATTTTCATGTGTTTAATACAATTTTAAAAACAATATTATATAAATTTCTTAATTATAATAATTAATATGTTTTTAAAATATTAAATAGCCCTAAAACTAATCCCCGATTAATCTCCGTGTAATCCCCGATTTTCTTGCTAGGCGCTAGGCGCACCCTCACCGCCCGACTAGCGCCTAGCGATTTTTTGAACACGGATCATACATGCATATTTACGTTTTCTTCAAAGAAAATATATTTGTTAGAAAATTCGATATTATTTAAGATTTTATCTCTGTGTAGGGATTTATTTTACAACTGAATAAGAATTTTAACAAATTCCTTAAAGATTTTGAATGAGTATAAGAAGTTCCATTTATTCAATTTTTGTATATCTTATAATTATACACCAAAAATTAACCGCAAATAAGAATTTTTGTTTTGGTTGCATTAAGCATCTATCATTTACTTTAACAAAAACAACATCTATACTATTAATTGGGAAGCACTCAAACATAAATAACCTTATAAAGTGTAAAGTATTACAAAAATGCCATTTGTTTTTGTTTTTAAATAAATTCATTAAAGATACAATAATAATCACAAAATAATATATTTAAATAAAAAATAGTAAAATTCTTTAAAATAATTATTAGTTTCCAAAAAATTAAACTCACTTTCTCTCTCATATTAATTATGGACGAAAATTAAATTTTTTTTTTCTAAAAAGTTGTTAACCAATGAGAATTAAAAAAACTAAGATTTCATATCCAACTAAAATTTTATCTAAATTCTAATCTAATCCTAATAAACTATTCTATATCAAAAATAAAAAGAAAAATAATAACATTTTAATTCAAAATTAAAAACACTATCGTTTAAAAAGTTTTATCAATGGAAAATTTTAAGATTGAATTTGAATTTCGTAAAAAAATTAAATACAAATATTTAAGACTCAATTTTATTATAATATTTTCACAAATTTTGAAATATAAAACAAAATTTTATTTCAAAATTTCTAAGAAAACGATATTAGATATTAACAAATATTTATATTTACTATGAAATAAACTCAAATATTGATAAATTTAAAGTAATTATCATTATGGCATTCGTTTAGAGCAAGTTTCGGAAATATCTAAACAAAAGATTGTACATATTAATTTCAAAATATTTTGTGTTTTTTTTTTTTCTTCTCAACCAGATCTTCCTTAAACAAATCTATAATATATTGCACACAGTTTTCGAAATAATGTGAACTAATTATATATTTTGCATTCAAAACAAATTATGCAGCAATAGCATATCCTTTTATAGATGTATCTCAAATTTTAATTTTAGTCCCAAAAATCGAATTAATTATGATTAAACAATGAAAAGAAAAATATGCAAAATTTAGCTAGAAACATTAATAAATTTGTTAAAATATATTTGTAACTTTAACATCATACATATTAATCCGCAAAATACACAATATATATTGTAATATTGTATGGTATTTAAAGGTAAGCAAACAAGAATTTGGAATATGATTTTAATGGAATAAAATGGAAATACAAATTACGAGACGAGATGGGATGGGAACATAAAAACCAAACTAAATACCCAACTGGTATGAGCACTACATAAAATAAATTTGTTTACACATATAACCATGTACATACGTTTTCAGTTACACATACTCTATTTATGACAGATATGGGACCATAATATTTTTATTTTACGTATGCGTGACAGGTTATGGGACAAAGAATTTATGATAGATACCGGACGGTATATTTTCATGTTCCAAAATAGTTACGCCTAACTAATATAGTGTACATGAAATAACCCAAACTAAAACCAAATTCATATCCTATTTAACATATGTAATCAAACTGTTAGAACTGTTATGATTAGTTAAGAAAATAAAAATGTAACACCATTTAACTTTTGCAACTAAATTAGTCCGGATCTTAAAATATAATTATGCATTAACGCAACTGAATTTTGTTCATCACTCTAACTTTATAATATTTATACTATTACGAAGTTCATTAACACAATAAAATATATTATATTTTTAAAATCTATATAACGATTTCTATAAAAATATCTCTACACGTACGTGGATCGAGATCTAATACACTAAAATATGTATCATAAAAAGTTAAAAATAACAAAATAATCTATACTGAATTAAAATTTGTTAGAAAATTTTTAAAATATGAAACCCCGCACGTACGTGCGGGTCATGATCTAGTTTATCATTTAAAAATGAAAACATTCTTGTAGATCTAAAGGTTGTAAGTTTAAATAATACAAAACCATTCGATATACATTAAACACAAATGCAAACAATCAAAGTTTTTGAAAAATTTATAAATTATGATATATATTACCTGTAGAAATAAATAAGAATATCATCAAGAAAATGCTGAAGCGAACTACCATTAAACTTTTAGACATTTTGTTTTGCCTTTTAAAAGTTTTTTTGTTTTCTTTGTTAGTTAAATGTTTTATGAATCTAATTGTGAAATTGCTATATATCAAGAATTATTATTTCTAAAAAAAGAAGAAGAAATGAGAGATAATCCGTAAAAAATGCCTATGAAATTGGTAAACAAAAAGAAAAATTCATCATTAATTAATATATTATAATTCTCCTTTTTTATAACTTTGATATTTCTTTTTATTAAAAATATGTTATTTATATGTAATAATTAACTACATGGTAATATGTATTATGCGCTGGATGAATAAACTGCGATGATCTACTGGAATATGAGAGGTATTATCAAGTAAACTAGGTTTGGGTTCAAGAACGGTTCTTAAATAAACTCTTACATGTTGTTTGATTTATAAATCTGAATTACTAAAAGGATTCACCCTAAGTCTAGCTTCTCCATCAATTCAACTTACAACCGATTTACATTCTTTGCAATCTTTAATATTCTTATTTTTTTGTTTAGCTTAATTCGATTACCATAAGTTTATTGCGTGAACTAGAAAGTTTTGTGGAATTCGATCCTAAAGTGCTATAACGATCTCTTATTTTAGAGAGTGTTCTTTAGGTTATTTGCACCATATCACTAATCGATGTCGGGCTTGCGTTATTTGGGTAGAGTTTTCAGTTATTTGTTTTATTTTTAGTTTATGTCGGATTAACTGATTGCTACTAAACTTTTCTCCTACAGTCATCATATATCAAACTTTATGATAACTAGTTAAAACTTTTTCATTGTAATTTTTTTAAAATCATTATAATTTTGTGCATACAAAATTTATGGGGTTTATCTAGGTTTCAGACCATCCTTTTATGGTGGCTAATTTATTATAAAGGCCAAGTTAACATTGATGTAAGAAAGAACAAGAACTCAAGTGGTCTCGTAGTAATAAATCACCGTGTGAGTCAATCTCACATTACAAGAAAACATGTCATTTCATACCGAAATTGATTCGTCGGTTCTATTTCGTCAAAAATACGTAAGGAATTTTTTTGAAGGATATACAACAATGAATATTTGCGGATTTCAGAGGATTCTCTTGATCGGAAAATACGACGGAATATTGTCAGAAAACATTAGTCGGAAAACCAATTCGGAAAATCTTTTCAACAGATTTCCGAAGGGTATCTGATTGCGTAATTCTGAGGGTCTATGGATATTGTTCCAATAGTTTTGGATGAAGTGAGGATGGTCGGGATTTGGGGACTTCCTGTGACCAACTCTCTCAAACATTCCAAGTGACTGTCTTTATTAGAGCTGTCAAAATGGGCTGTCCACGTCCATTAGCCCGGTCCAATATTGACCATTTTAGTTATGGACAAATAACGTCCATGTCCATTATAGCCCATGTCCATTAACGCCCATGTCCAAATGGGCTGTCCATTGGTGCCCATTGGTCACCACAAGAACAAATTATGAAAAACGCAAAAATCTGCAAAAATATCAAATTCAATCCAAAAGTCTAAGACAAATATCCAAATAAACAACAAAGTATCACATCCAAAGAAATCGTCGGAGAAATCGCCGGAGCTTTGAGTTCGTTTTTGAGAAATTGAGAAAATGAGTTTTCCCCAAATCGATTTCCATTTTGACCTAACATTAGATGTCTATTGGGCCGCCCATGTCCATTATAGTCTAGTCCAATAACGCCCATGTCCATTAAGAACCATGCCCATTAACGGCCATGTCAAAACGGGCTTGTCCATGACCGGTCCATTAGGTGTTGGACACGGACAGCCCATGGGCGGCCCGCCCATTTTGACAGCGCTCTAGTCTTTATCAAAGAGTTTTATACATACAAAACCACCTTGCTTTGATCTAACATATCAAAATGATAATGAGGTTATTATTGAAACGAGAGTTGTTGACAGGCAAAAAATTTTTGAAATCGCATAAGATGACCATGTTTACAAATTTTTTTTGCCATTAGATTATGAAGCTTTGCAAATCTTTTGTATTGCTGCTTTTGGTCAAAAGTTCCCAATAAATAGTTTTGAGGATCTTGCAATGAAAGTTTGTGATCATGGGCTCAAGTTTCCAGGGAATATCCAAGCAGGAGTGGATAGATAAAATTGATCCATTTTGAAATTAAACAAGTTATTTAACATAAAACTATATATGGAAGAGATTAGAAGACTAATTAAAAGATAATGTAAAATAGCTGATGTTTTCTTTATTCTTGTCTCTTCTCTTTTCCTGTAAGTTCTACTTATTTCCGATTTGAATCCTGCTGCTTCAACTTTCAAGTAAAGCTCTAGTCTTTGCTTCTCTTTCTCTCTCCGCGAGTCCATTGCAGAATCTAGTTGGCGCAGATCTTTCATGATGCAGTATATGAAGACTAAACACCCTTCTGAGTTCTGAGTTCTGAGTTCTGAGTCTTATCATGTTTCCTTTTCTATTGCAGCTGTTCTCATTGACTTTGATAGATATCTTAAGCATCAAGAGTCTTCATTCTTCTTCTTCTGAAAACAGTGTTTTGAGGATCAAATTCATGTGTTAGCTTCGGTTTTGACTTCAAATAAACTCTTATAACTGGTTAGACCTCTTCTCAATGCAGACCACACAGCTGAATGCAAAACAGAAGGGCTTGTTTTCACAGTCGTTTAAGCAACTCCCACACTCGTGGCAACGTTCTATGCAGACTACGCAAGCTCTGCACGATGATTTAGGATAAGGATATTGACCCTTCAACGGACAGGTTTCTGCTGGACAATCAAATACAAGACTTGGTTTCTCACACCACGGGCATATCTCTAGGTCAGTAACTCGATCATCCTCTAAAGAGAACTCTGATCTACAAGACGTATAGAATCTCTTCTTCCTCGATTTTGGACCCGCTTTAGCATCTCCTCCTAGTAATAAGTTCAGCTCTTTAAATTGCACTTTTGTGAAATACAACGCCCCACCAGTGATTAGGCTTTTGACTCCAAGACGGTTTGAGGATTTTAAGTCCCTTAGAGTTGACAGTAGTCCTGCTGTGCTTAGTCTAAGACAACCAGATACACTCAGCTGCAAAACATAAATTAAAAGACTTCTCCCGTTAGGGAAATCGGTTTCCACAAGCGCCTTAAGAATCGTAAACAAAATCGAGTTTTTCAACCAGAAGAACATGTAAATACAGATCCAGTATGCAGAGCAAGGATACATGAATAGAAAACTAACCTTAGTGAGATGTGGATTGATTGCAAGCACTTGCTTCAAGCCATAATCAGTGATACCAACACATCCTCCAAGATTCAAACATCGAACATCACCTTGAGCGCGGCGTGTTAACTTCAAAAGAGACTCATCAGTTACTCTATATTGAAGAAAAGAGTCATTAAGATCAATGGTTCTCCAGAAAAAAGGCTCCTTTCTAACTGAATCACGCAAAGACCTGCAAACTCCTTCAACCGCAAGAATCTCTTTCAACTCTAGATATGAAAGAACTAACTCAAACGCGTCATGAGCTTCACCAGCATCATCATCATCATCATCATCATCATCATCATCAACATCATCAAGATCAAACCAACTTAGGCTAAATTGTTCAGTTACTAAATCTTTGTGATTCTCATGAAACCAATCCGAGATTGTGTTCAAAGTCGATCTAACTTTCATACAAAATGGATCCTCAGGCAACGTGATTTGGTGTTGCAACATCTGAATCTGATTCTCATGAAACCAATCAGAGATTGTATTCAAAGTGGATCTAATGTTCATACAAAAAGGATCATCAGGCAAACCCACAAAATCATCCCCAAATTCACAAAAACCCAATTCTGCTTTTCGGTAATCGATACCCCAAGAAGCATAAGAACCTCGAAGCTCGTCGGAATTAACCTCCATTAACGAATTAAGCTGAGGAAAAAAAAAAACTGGGCTCAAGGAAGAAACTGAAATCTGAAATAGATTCAAAAAAAAACGGCGAGAGAATGAATGAATGAATGAGAACGAAATCTAACGAATGGGATCGCGAAATCAGCGGGAAAATAAAAATAGGAAAGAGAAAGGATTCGAGAGGAAGAAGAAGATGGAATCAGAGAGAAGAAGGAATGGTTTTGCAAAAAAGGGGACTTTTTTTTTAGGGCTTTTTCACTCTGTTGCGAATTTGGCGCGTGTCTAACTATAACTTCTTATTTATTTAATAAAAATTAATGAATATTAAATGAGTTTCCCTTTTTTTTCTAAATTCTAATTAATGATTACGTCTCTAAATTAGATATTTTCATTCACTCTTTTTTAATGTACCAACTACATTGCTCTTTTTTTTTTAAATAGTCAGATCTTTTAATTTATTATCTTTTCAAATTTGCAGGATCTTCTATTTTTGTTTTGGTTTATTAGTTTTATTCCTTGTCCATAAAACTATTGACTAACTATTGTATTAAGTAATTTGCCAATTTGTGAACAAAAATTAAGAAGTTATTCACCTATTATAGATTTTGTTCTTTTCAAAAATAGAAATTTTGTTAAATGGCAAGATTTGATCATTTAATTAAGTAAATGACTTCTTGATTGCTGTTAGATAATGATATAAGGGTATCCTAAATATTTATGAATGTACTTTTATTTTAAAATTTGGCATTTTCGTAAATAAATACTTTTTTACTTCTTTTTTTTGTTGTTGTTGTTGTTGACAAAAAAACAAAGTAAATAAATACTTTTAAATCTGCTAAATTCAGTAGACCTCATAAATGGTACTCCTTATCTTTCATAGGGACTTTTTTGTTTTATTTTAAATGATATTTTCATATTTCTATGTAAAAGTTAATTTATTTGACTTATATTCTACTACATGTTTTCTTATTGGCTGATTTAGTTTTAAGTTAGTGGTATTATTTTTGTGTAAAAGAAATAAATTAAATGAAATTTATATGATTTCATAATCTTCGTGCAAAAAATCTTAAACATTACTTCAAATGAAACAGGGAGAATAAATGTTCACTGTTATGAAAAACAAAACATGTTTCTCCTAACAACTGATCTCATACATATAACCATCACAATGTGTTTTAATTTATGTTTTAAGTGTTACGGAAAATCTCTTATTGCGAATTTATGAAATTCAATCCTCTATTAAGCAGAATAAGATCTTTTAATTTAACTAGGGATTAGTCCGGGCTACGCCCGGATGTATATTTTAACAATTGATAATTAAATTAGTAAACATTAAATTTGCTTTAGAAATCACAATGCAACAAATAAAAATTTATTATGTATATTATTGAATAAAGAGTCATGTGTAAACAATATTGAAATTGGGTTTAATTGTATTTAGTATATGATTTTTTTGAAGTATATGATATATGTAGTTTTTCTTATAGTAGAAAAAATTTTACATTTTAAATATGAATTGAAATAACTTGTGATACATATGATCACTAACACAAGCACAAGATAGTTCTCCACCCCTTTAGTTGTTCTAGCTCCTTACTCCTCCATGAATAATTATGAAAACCCGAGAACCATCGTTTACACTTTATATCATCATCACCATAACCATTATCTCTTTTTTGCTTCGATCACCTGCTCTACATCTCCTTCCTAACGCCAGAATTGACCACCTATAAAGTAAAACTATATATATATATACCCTGAAAACTACTTTTATATTAGAAACTCAAAGAATATTGAAGACTTACAAAATTGTAATGGTTAATGTAGACAGCGTTCGTAAGACACAAGATTGAAGAAATGTGGGAAACAAATTGAGAAAATAGACAAAGACAGGTATCTAGAGGAAAAACATCTCCCTCATTGTATCTCAAAGATATCAAAACTCTTATGCCTAAGAACTATCTCAAAGATTTTAACGCACAATCTTGATTTTTATCCTCTTTGATCTTTTTTGAATGGCAAAACCAATTCCCCAAAACATGTGGATGAAATCACTACATCTTTATATATGTTAGAACGCAAGTATGTCTTAAAAATCTACTTAATTTGGTTGCAAGTTTATTTCTAACCTAATTGAAATTAGAATAGAAAATTAGCTATCGATTTAAACCGAAATCAGAGACGAAGATATCAAATTAGCTAGGAAGAACAAACCAATCGCAAGGGTTGAAAAGTGAAAAGCCTAAGAGCAAGAAAAAGAGACAAAATTTCTGTTAGAGGATTAGAAAACAGTGAACCTGCTTGTGTTAAGATCAGATTTGGGGACATATTTGTCCAACAAAGAGCCGCAAACTCACATCGACGGTATGACCTCCTTGAATGTTCTATAGTACCATCACAGTTCTCACCGTGTCGGCATCTTAAAGGCTTTTTTTTTGTTCTCTCTTGCAAATGCTAGAATATTCCTAGACTAAGATGACATTTTCATAAAGTAACACACAAAATCATTTGAATTTATCTCAAGAAGAGTAAAAAATGCACATATACTGTTGCAACACATAACCAAATAATGTAGAAACGGCAAAGCCCTTAGAGCATACACAGTAGTGTATGCTTCCCCTTGAGTGTTATGAATTTAATAATTTAAATGTATCAAAGAAAGAGAAAGGAAAAAGAGGAAAAAGAAAGAGAGAGAGAAAGGAAAAAGAAGAGAGAGAAAGGAAAGAATAAAGGAGAGTGTTATCTCACACCCGAGTCTTAGTTTACATCCGAGTGTTGCCTCAAAACCAACTTTATCATTATTTCCCTTTTTAATAATGCTTACACCCGGGTAAAAAATATACCACTGCGTGTGGTCTTAGATCGTACCGCTGAATATTCAATTATATTGAAGATGTAAGAGGGAGTAAATGTTCTTTATTCAAATGAGGTATTTGGAAGACAATTTTGGCAGTAGAAATGAAAACCATAAACAATTGAGAAAGTCCATCCATACCTTCGACGTCCTTATTAATAAAAACCATAAACACCAAAAATTGGGAATATATCATTTCTGCCTTCAACGTCCTTGAGCAATCCTTGCAAGATCGTCTTTCTCTTAATTAGTCCTCCTATACCTTCAAATATCTCTTATATTGTTCTAAGACCATAATAATCTGAAATTTTTATTGCAAGAGGAAGTGGAGCCACACCAAAGTCTACCTTGCCGGTGGTGTAGACCTCATCAACGTTTATTCTTTGGATGATAGCCTAAATGATCAAAGAGAGAAATTATATCGAGTGAATTTGTTCGTAGAAGATATAGAGTTTTGTTTATAAAAGGATTTTTGAGAACTGAAAAGTCTGTACGGTTTGATCCGATGATTTTAAACGTGTGCAAGAGGAAGTCGAGGGGATCATTTGTTGACGATCCTTTGCCTAGAAGTTACCTTTAGCTGACGTGTCACAACAATTTGTTTTTTTTTTCTTTCCAAACTCTCAACGAAAAGAAGAAATGATGTGGCAGATTTAGAGAAAATATTGAGAATTATGCTGACGTGGCGACTTGAGAGAGATTCTTAAAAAAGCTGATGCGGACACATTGAGAAGCTTCAATGAGTTCCTTTTATTAGTAATAGATTAGTTTTGCCACAAAGCTGTTTTGCATTATATAAAACAAGAAAAACAAGAGACTAGCACAACAAAAACTAGAAGACATAAACAATGTCCTAGTGAAGATCACTAGTATACATAAGATTCACTTAACAAACTCCAAACAGGTGAAGAGTTTTTTATTCAGCAAGCAAAAAAAAAAAAACCCTCTTATTTTGTGTGTACTCATCATCATCATCTCTATGTTTATACCATTTACAATGTAGGAGGGATCCAAATGTAGCCATGGGTCTGCGTATAACCAGCTTTCTTAAGTAGCTGATCTGCTTCCGCTGGGCCACGGCTACCTTGTTTGTATGGGATCGATTTCACTTCTCCCTTGTCGATCCTGTGAAGCAATGGAGTGAAGATTTCCCAAGCTGCCTGTTTTATGATTGATCACCGACATATATATGTGTTTAAAGATCTTCTCAATGGGAAAAATATCAAATTTGGGTCAAATCAGATTGTGGAAGTTTGAAACAAAGTTGAGTTGGGTTCTTGAAATGATGTGAAATATCCAGGGGTTCTAAAGTGGTGAAGGAGAAAGGTAAAATTACCTTCAGTTCGTCTCTGCGAACAAAGTGTTGTTGGTCGCCTTTGATTCTGCAGAGAGATACATAATAAAGTCAACTAATGGGATGAATAAAGGTTTTGATATTATACAGAACTATTGTTACTAGATTCTTACGTGTCAAGAATAAGGCGTTCGTAAGCCTCTGGAATCGAGACATCTTGGTAACGCTGCTTGTACGACAGGTCTAGTTCACTCTGCACAGTTTGCATCTCCAGACCCGGTTGCTTCACCTGCGCAGCAAAGCCAAAAACTTCAGATTGATTGAATGAATGAATCTCTCCTTGATTGAGTGAGTGAATCTCTCCTTTTCTTGTAATATTATAAATTGTGGTTTGTTCATCAGGTACTTACAGTTAGCTTCATGTACATGGCCTCTGAAGGCTGCAAGCGTATAACAAACTCGTTCCTCCCTTGGTTTTGACCTGTTGTATTGCATGAGAGGTTAGACCAACGAGATTTTACGTATCAGTACATACACTTGATATCTGAGACGGTTTGATTTGGTCTTGATACAAACATTTGAATATATCGCCAGGAACATCTTTAAACTGAATGCGAATATCTGCCTTCTTTGAACTCATTGCCTTTCCGGCCTTCAGTATAAATGGAACACCTGAGAGAAAGATAAATCAATCCACAAGTCCATAATAACCACCACAAGTAGAAAGGGATTTTTTCATAGAGGTAACACATGAAGACAGTGCTCAATCGATGGAGAAACAATATGAATTGAGCTAATGTCTGTTCCGTTATAAGATGTTACGTCATGTTTTAGGTTCGGGAGAGTTGGTTTTATCATTTATGCAAGAACAGAAGAGTTCCGTGGCCTACTGTAGATATGGACAATATGAATTGAACTAAATATCTAATCTTGATTCATGTCTAATCTTTTAGATGATGTTCCAAACTTGATCTAGAAAATGAAAAGATGAAGAGTGAATGGGACACAGTACCTTCCCATCTTTCATTGTCTATGCGAAGAATTGTTGTGGCAAACGTTGGAGTGTTTGAGTCATTTGGAACAGTTGGATCATCTCTATAGCCTTCATATTGTCCAAGAACCACCTCTTCATCTTTTATGGGAATCACAGATTGAAGAACCTGAAGTTCATTTAAGAAATCAGTCAGTTGGTATTTGTTGGCTGAAAATGCAAACGAAGATATATATCTCTTGATCCAATTGATATGGTAACCTCCTACAGAAGTTTGGAAATGAAGATGTGATCAGAAAAATTAAGATTGTGATTAAGAAAATTGTAATCACCTTCACTTTCTCATCCCGGATGTGCTCGGGTTTAAGGGAGATTGGTTTCTCCATGGCGACAAGGCAAAGAACCTGTAGTACACTAAACTTAGTTAATATATGAAAGCATCTGCAGTTACAGGGAAGGAAATTCCAAGGAGAAATGACATATGGAGGTGGCTTTCAAGATGTTTTTCTTCACAATAGACAAATATTTAAAATGTAAACACTTGCCTGGAGCAAGTGGTTTTGAATAATATCGCGAATGATTCTGAAATAGAAGATTATACAAGTCATCAGAATGGAATGATATTGTTGTCTCATATACATCATAGTCAAAGGAAACACTGAGAAAAGCTTACCCGTATTCATCAAAATATCCCCCGCGACCTTCAGTTCCGAAATCTTCTCTGAAAACGATCTGCAAAAGAAATTAGAGAATTATGTGGATGGATTCAACTCTAAACAAAGGTTTGGAAAATATATGTGCTAAACTATCAAGCTCTCACCTGTACGTTTGCAATATTGTCGCGGTTCCATAGTGGCAAAAACAAACGATTGGCAAAGCGAAGAACCAACTGCACTAACGATGCATGTGTTAGATGATCTTTATCTGTCTAAATAAATAAACTATTGACTAGAAGCAAAGAAGTGTTACCATGTTTTGGACTAATTCTTTTCCTAGATAGTGATCAATACGATAAATCTGTGGTTCATCAAACAGCGCCCCAATCTGAGAACTAAGTTGCTCTGCAGATTCCAAATCCTTTCCAAACGGCTTCTCAACAACGATCCGAGTCCATCCACCAAGATCAGCTGGAAAGATTATACCATTCCAATGAGAGTTAATACCTAATCTTTTGTATCTAATAATGTTGACCATTTAACAGTAACTCACATTTGTTAGTGCACCATGCCTTGATCATCTTGCTTACAGGAGGGTACACAGACGGCGGAAGTGCAAGATAAAACAATCTCCGAGAAGATCCTTCAGAAGTCTTTTTAGAGATTTCGTGCTCAGAAATCGCCTCATCTAATCTCTTAAACCCTTCCTCAGAATCATAAGGTCCACTCACATACTTAATCTATACCAGAACATATATTTTCAGTAACCAAAACAAACAGGACTACAACCGCGTAAATGAAATGGACTAACCAGCTTTAAAAACTTGGACAAAGCTTCTGCTTTGTCAGATGCATTCCTCTCATCAACAAGATATCTACACAACAAGATAATATCAAATCAAATACATAAACTTTTCATTGTCTCATATACAACAAAAAAAAAACCAAAAGGCGGATCGGATCGATCATCTAACCCGCGGATTTTTTCTCTCAACTCCTCATCAGAAATCTTACTCCTTGCATATCCAAATATATGAACTTCATCTGGATTAAGAAATCCCTACTCATGTAAAAAACCAATAAACACATCAAAAAAAAAAAAATTGACATTGAAAATATACTAACAAAAAATCTTGAGTTTAAAAACCTGATGGTAAAGATGGAAAAGAGCAGGAAAAGTCTTCTTCTTAGCAAGATCACCAGAAGCACCAAGAACAATGATGGCGAGACTTCCAGTTTCAGAGACTGGATTGTATTCTTTTACAAACGAATCATTCTTTAAAGTAGACCTCTTCTCCATATGCCACTCACCAGAAGGTCCAGAACCCATCATCCACAAGTTTTTTAACACTCTAACCAAATTACAGAACAAACCTGTAAAATTAAAGTTTAGTGAAATTGGAATCATTGTGTTACGATTAATCATGAAACCAAAAATTACTTATGAAATTATAACATTTCAACAATTCGAATCTCATGAAGACGATAAAGATTCTTAGCTTAGGCTAACATAACTGCGAAGAAACACAGAATCAATACGAAAATTGGATGATAAGTAATTGAATGGATCAGATTTCGTTTGACAAACGGATCATTAGAAGCTTTGGCTGAGTTTTGCAATCGGAACAACAAAGTTTACGAGAAGAGATCTCTCTAACCTGCGACGGTGGCGACAAAAATTTCAGTAGTATGGAGAATTGTGTTATGTATGATTTTGATAGTTCGAATACATTTATAGATAAATTAGAATGGTGATGATTAAAACAAGGGACTGTAATTATAATATATAATAACAATTATAATGTTAATTAAATGGAAAGTGGTAATGATTTGAGAATTCGAGACTTGTAATGGTTGAGCTTGAGCATCCCATTATCTTTAGATATGCTGAGATATTTTTTATTTTTTGGGAAAGAAAAGTCAACAAGAATTATTGTGACGTGTCTTGGTTTTACAATTAAAAAAATTACGATATTCATATTACATTTTGACCGTTAGATTTCACCTACCCAAACAACTATCGTGTTTTATGATCAGCCACCACAAAAACAGTGTTCACTTAAAGCAGATAAGACACAATGTGTTACATACCAATTGGATAATAAACAATACACTAATTTCACACTGTTCAATAGCAATGAATCGTCATTTTATATACCAAATTCATTCATCTAAAGATCATATAACGTAGGGCTGGGTAAAATATTCGTTAGATTCGCTTCGATCCGTTATTTGGTTCTATTCGATTCGAAAAATCCGGATATCCGGAGTTTTACGAGGCAAATCAAATACTAAAAATTGATATTCGTTTAAAACGAAGCAAATAACAAATACTAAAATTTAAATAAGCGGATATCCGCTCCGATCCGGTATACATGAACATATGTATATGTATATAGATAATTACAGATATATATTAATAATTTTACTATTTTTATATGTAAGTTTTATTAATTTATGTTCATCTAATTAATTATTTTACTATTAGTTTTAACAGTTAAAGAAGAAATATTTTTTTCAATGAAATATTACTTATTTTGGATTAAATTTCTCATTTTTATGTTTTTTAAAAAAAATTTTATAATTGCTTTTTGATATATACTGAGCAAATCGAATATCCGGCAAATAGCTCAGATTTTAACGGATATCCGGACAGCCGGATATTCGGTTATTTACGAAGCAAATACAAATCAGAAAACCAATTCGGACGAAGCAAATCGAATAACAAATACTACCAAAATCCCGGATATCAGCTTCGTGCCCACCCCTAATATAACGTAGCACAACGCATTCATTTACTTTTCTAGTTTTCTAGTTTAGCACGAGAGAGGTAAAAAAAAACAGAGAATAAATGCTATAATGGAAGTAACTTTTAGGCCCACAAAGTCCAAATGGACCAAGATATTAAAGCGCTACGGTGAGTCTGTGAGTGATGCTACCACATTGGAACTGTCACATTTCATAACGAAATGAAATCACATTTTAAACCACTTAGGCTTTGTGGTCTTCTTCTCAGTGGATTTAGGCTCGTGTTCAACAGGTACAGGACCAGAGTCAACCGTGGCCGGCTCTGACGACGACTCAACCGGTTCCTCCGCTTTGGTCATGACCTCTAAATTTTTCAGTGACAAGATCTCTTCATTAAGATAAGGAGTTGAACTAGCACCATCATCTGCAAAAACCATTAGGGTTTTTAAAGACAACAGTCTTCCCAACAAATTCTTTTCGAGTAGTATGTAAGGGAAATTAATATTATAGTCAAACATATAATCTATATCGGACACACCTTAGTCCTTACTTAAAGGGCCTTCTAAGATCAATTGTCCCCTATGTATTCACATGATCCTAATTCCTAAACTTCTTATCAAGCTATTTCATTCCCAAGTTTGGTGGTTTTCTGGAAAATTCCTCATGTAGTTTAGTTCTCTGTCCCCCAAACTGATCTCACTTACTAAATCTATAATCCCACACATATCGCAGTGCAACCCCAGGATGTGATGAGTAGGTGCCCAGAGAAAGAGGAAATCTATGGGAATGTGTTAAGGTACTGGCACAGACTAACCTTTTGGTTGATCGTTTGCAAAGTAGACAATTGCTCCAGGAACAAACCCAGCTGAGTAGAAGTCTTGTGAGAAATCTTTTATCTGCTTCTTGGGAGGAGTTGTGTCTGCAAAAAGATAGCACGGTGTCAGGTTTCTTCTCTTGACAAATGTAAGATCTGAAATCTGAGTAATGGAAACATACACAAGTAGAAAGCATTATCGGGGTGGGCAAGTACTCTTCTGACAAGATCAATCAAGCCTTGGATCTTTTCTGAGGGATGAAATGTTGCTTCCAAAGTGTGATTATCAGGAAAACGAACCCGGATTACAGCCTAGACAGTATCAATCTCTAAATACTCAGTAGGATAATTCCAAGAATGAAACAAGACAAAGTGGTTTAGAAAGTAATATGAACCTTAGTCAGCTTTGATCGACGAGCAGCTTCTTCTGCTTCCCGGAGTTTTCTTGTCTTCAACGATTTATCTTTTGCATAAGTAATTCACATTACATGTTAGAAGAATTAAACAACCAAGGTACTGATTTCTTTAGAGCAAACAATACATTCCGACGATAACAAACACAGTTGGATTTGATCAAAGATTTTCCAGAAGAATGTAAACTAAACCATACAGATTCTTCTAAACATCTTACCTTCTTTCTTAGTAGCTAAAAGGCGGTAATAATCTGCAGGTGTGAACTCGTAGAAATCATCAGATTCATCTTCTGTGGAATTTCATAAACAATCAATCACAAAACTTGTTCAAATTCAGATCAAATGCAATATTAGCCAGAATCAGAAAATCCCCAAAACTTACCAGCACTAGAAACTTGAATTGGTCTCTGAGAAATACTCGAAGTCTCAAAAACACGAACCTCTCGCCCTAATTTCTCTCGTATATCAGCAATTTTAGCCTGATTTTACGAAATTTCATCAAATAAACATCGAATTCGACACAAGAAATGACAAAACCCTAAAAAAATTTGCGTGAACCCCAAAAGATAGAAGAAGAAGAAAATTTAAGATCAAACGAAAATCGAAATGGAACTAGGAATCAGATGATATAAATCAATGAAGGAGAAGAAGAAGAATGAAGTTAGACCTGAGCTGAAGAAGAAGCTTCCATGGAATCGATGATCTCGAGTCGTCTCCGTTTCAAGGTGTGTAGAGAAGGGTCATCAACAAACATCAGACCCGACCCGGTTCAAGTTATTCTTTACTTGCTCGCTGCAAATCCACCGTCTATATACCAGAGGCGCATTTATTTTAGGAGATTTTCAATTTAAGCCCACTATGTTTTGTTTCTTACAGATAAGCCCCTTTCTCATATGATTTTTTTTTTTTCCAACTAAACACTAGTCTTAAACTATTAAACAAAACAAAAAATGAAGAAATAAATAAGAGAAAATTAAATTAAAATTATTTTGTTGAAATATTAAATTTATTAATTAACAAAAATAGTTTTTATACAAACTAATAATTGATGAGCCCAAAAATCGGAAAAAAATGAATTTAAAAATAAGGAAATTTATAGTGGCACTCCTCTCACTCTAAACCAACATTGGAGGATATCAAAGAACGACGCATCGAGGTCTTAAATATAACGTAGAGAAACTATTCGGTTACATATCAACTTCTCAATCTATCGAATAAGGTACGACTCCAACTTGTACGTATGTGTATGACATTTTCTATTCCGTTCTTGTCAAATGTGATAGATGACCATCTACAATAGCAAACATATATGAAAATAAGTGAATAAGTTGAACGAGTGAACATTAAAATGATAAAGTTTGGTCTTCCAATCCAGATTAGGTTGATTGTATAAGAAATCACCAACAATATTCGTTTAAACCATATAAATGTAGTACGAATAAGCGAAGAATATATGATTTTTTTGCCTTTTGTAGTTTTTTTGGCGGATATTGTTACGCGGCTTAATTACGACAACTCTTTTAAAAATAAGAGACAATAATAGAACGTACTGTATAGAGTACTCTCCTTCTTTTATCGGATTTTCAAAGATCCGTCACCTTTTACTCGATATCTCAAAACTAGACCGCGATCCACAAACATGGCCTCACTTTCACGGTTCCACCAAAATATATAATTAAATTATTTTGAGAAATAAAAATAAAAATAAAAATAGAGAAAAATAATTGTAATCGTTTTACAAAAAAAAACAGATATTTCTAGCTAAAGGCATATCGACAAAAAAATGGTATGACACAAATATGTTGTACAAAATAAAAGTATTTTTTTCACCTGAAATTAATAAAGTACCTACCATTAAAAGGAAAAATAAAAGCCTTTAAAGAAAATAAATATTGTCCTACGAAAGTGAAAATTTATTAATCTGATAGTCTCTTCCCACCTAAGCTTCTTTGCTTTTTTTAATTTTTGTTGTATCCTTCTTGTCTCTATTAACGCTCATCTTCCACCATCAATCCAAAGCTCCAAATCGAAGCAATCTTCACTCTCCACAAACCCTAATTCGATGCAATTGCAATTTTCCACTCTTCTTCTTCCTCTCTCCATGGATCCGTAAATCTCTATAACCTCACAAAAGGTGTTTTCCAATGCCTAGCGTTGGTGTGAAGCTCTACAGTGTCTTCTTCAAGTTCCTTTTGAAACACCGTTTACAAAACCGGATTCAATCTTCCGGTGATGAATCTTCTTCGGATCCATTTGGTGTTACGACCCGACCCGAAGAATCCGTCGCTGCTCCGAATCCGTTATTCACCGACGGTGTTGCGACCAAAGATATTCATATCGATCCGTTAACTTCTTTATCTGTACGGATTTTTCTTCCTGAATCTGCTCTTAAGCCGCTTGAACCGAGTACATCCGCTGGTGTTTATTCCGGTAAGGCTCGAAATCTCAACAACCTCGCCGGATCCGATCTTCTTATTAGGAGAAATAGTTTAGGTTCGTCTAATTCGTTGTTGTCTCATAAGGTAGAATCTAGAAGGAGTAGTTACGGTTTCACCACTGGTTCTTCTTCCCCTGAAGCAGGATCCTCCGACGTGTATAGAGGATACTCGCCGTCGTCTTCGGGTGGAAACTCTAGAAAACTTCCTGTGATGTTGCAGTTTCATGGTGGTGGATGGGTAAGTGGAAGTAATGATTCAGTGGCTAATGATTTTTTCTGTAGAAGGATGGCGAAGCACTGTGATATCATTGTTTTGGCAGTCGGGTACAGGCTTGCGCCTGAGAATCGGTATCCGGCTGCGTATGAGGACGGGTTCAAGGTGTTGAAATGGTTGGGGAAGCAGGCGAATTTGGCTGAATGTAATAAGTCGATGGGAAATTCGCGGCGACCGGGAGGTGAAGTGAAGAAATCAGAAGTGAATAAGCATATTGTTGATGCTTTTGGTGCTTCTTTGGTGGAGCCTTGGCTCGCAACTCATGCTGATCCCTCGAGGTAAAAACATTGTCTTTCCATTTGCATTGCCTATGAAGTTTAGGGAAATTTTGATTCTTGTTAGGTAGTGAGACTAGTGAAAGAGCCAAGAATTTGTTAGAAACAAATGTGTGTGTTCCTGCCTGCCTGAAAATCTAAGCTTTAATGTCAACTTTATTTGTGCTTTACGATGTCCGTTATGATCTTTGTTCTGTGATCTACTTGTGGAAGGATTTGATTAATTATTATTGTTTCTTGGTACTGAACTACTGATGCTAAGTTCAGCTTCATTCTTCACGTTAATAGTCATAGGTCCTTATCATGTCTTGAAATTTGTCAAAAGACACTTGCTTTCTTACAGGACTTCTGTTGCTAATTCTCCTCTTACCCAGATATATCTTCATTGATTTCTGGGTCTTAGTACATGTTGGATATGTAAATTCAATCCTTTCGATTCCAGGAATCTTCTGGGATTGGATTATCAAGCTTTTTTTTTCGATGAAAAACCATCTACTTGGATTCAGTTTCCTGAAAATGTGCTTGGTATGTCAACTGTGGTTCATATGCATGTCACACCAAAAGTCTTTTTTTTTTCTCCAGTTTTTAATGATCTTTCACGTAGTTTGCTTTCCGTAAATGTTCTGCTTTTGGTTCTTAATAACACTTTAAGGATACTGAAATTAGAGTCCAGCGGAGTATGAGATAAATTTTGTAGATCGTTGCTTTCATGTGATTCAGGTGACCAAAAATCTTACTGAGTTCTGTGACTTCTCGAAATTTGAAACTTCAGATGTGTGCTTCTTGGTGTGAGCTGTGGTGCCAATATAGCAGACTATGTAGCCCGTAAAGCCATTGAAGCTGGTCAAAATCTAGATCCTGTCAAGGTTGTGGCTCAAGTCTTAATGTACCCGTTCTTCATCGGTAGTGTTCCCACACAGTCTGAGATCAAACAGGCAAATTCCTACTTCTACGACAAACCTATGTGCATTCTCGCTTGGAAGCTTTTTTTACCAGAAGAAGAATTCAGCCTAGACCACCCGGCAGCGAACCCGCTCGTTCCAGGCCGAGGTCCACCACTCAAGTTCATGCCACCAACACTAACCATTGTCGCAGAGCATGACTGGATGAGAGACCGAGCCATTGCATACTCAGAAGAGCTAAGGAAAGTTAATGTAGATGCTCCCGTGCTAGAGTACAAAGATGCGGTCCACGAGTTTGCTACCCTCGATATGCTTCTTAGGACTCCACAAGCTCAGGCTTGTGCAGAAGATATTGCAATCTGGGCCAAGAAATACATCTCTCTTCGTGGTCACGAGTTCTCATACTAGTGTTCACCAGAATCTCCAGGTAGCAAAAAGAGGTGAATCAAAAGTAGACCAGATTTTTTCGGGTTTTGCTGTTTCTCCACGAAGCGAAAAGAGGTGAACCGAAAGTAAACTTTCCGGGTTTTGTTGTTTCTACGAGGAAGCAAAAAAAGGCAGGCGAAGGGAGAGGTTCTTTTTCTCTCTGTGAGTAGAGTTAGTGTAGAGAGTTGTTACTTTGTGATATGGGTCGAGTGAAAGACTCAGGTTGTCTCGGGGTATTTCCCGTATATTAAACTATATATACGTCACTCTCGGTATGAGGTTCGAATCGAAGTTTGTTTTACTAACAATCAGTATTTTTTAATTAACCGAGACAAAATGACCGTTTGTTTTACCGTTCGTAACCTTTAAAAGATCGTGTTTTTTTTTAAAAAAAAAATCATATTTCTTCTTTCTTACATTTTTACTTATAAACGTTTTTAACAATCTTTAAAAAATATTTATGATATGGCATATAACAATTTCGTAAATTTATGTAATATTTCAAACATTTGAGTTGAGTATCACAATTTTAATACATAAATGCAATCAAATAACTTTTTGTAATATAATATTTTGTTCAAAATGAGTTCCTCGCTATATCACGGAGGCTCGTAACCTAGTTTTAAAAATAAAAAATAAAAATCATATAAATAGTATCTATTAACATATCCTTTGATGGGTTAGTGCTTCAGCTAGGGTCAAAACGCGAGTCAATTTCTGGTATATTTGAGAGTTATTTCATCTAAAAATTGTAATATCTATTACTGTTTCCTTCGACAAAAAATAGAAATCTATTAATAATGTATCCATAATTTATATCACTAATTGAAATGCAACCTTTTTGGGTATGAAACACATAAACCCATCCAAATATCATTATTCAACAAAATCATTATTTAAATAGATTTATTAAGAAAATGAATAATACATGCGAGATAGCATTAATAGTAAAAGAAATTAATATTTTTATATAGAAAAAATAAATTTGGTATCTTGCCAATATAACTTGATAACGTCGCCTGCTTTTAGATTTCTTGCATCTCTGAGATTTTTCCACCCTACTCCGATAAAATAACGATTACCGTCTACTCCAAGGTTTACCCAATATGAATTGTCATTGTCCTTAATTTCTACTTGAATACCGTTTCGAGGAATTGGAACTCCGGTGCTTCTTGTTATGTTCTCAACTTTATCTTTCGGCAAAAACAAACGATTCTTATGACAAACATCATTTTCTGTTAGTGTTTTTCTTATCATCATATTCGGATCCATTTTACTAAAATTTTAAGTGTCTTAGAAATATAATTAAGATTTTTTCATAAAGTGAAATATTTGAGGAGTTCCAAGAGTTCAATATATATATATACCTCTCGGCCAAAATAATGTTCCTTGGATTGGCTTTTATATTTATTTGAACAGTATTAATTGTATTAAACACAACTCTCTAAATTTAGTAAATGTTATGGATATATTTTCTAAGTTAGCATATTATTAATTTTCTAAATTTACAACTTGATATGTTAAACTAGTCACATATTCTTGTTATGCTGAATTGTATTTACAAAACCTTGTTTTTATTGCTTTTTAAAAAAGTCTTCCCAAGCTAAATCTATTATAATATCTAAGAAACATAAACTCTATTAGTATCTGAAAAATCTCTTTTCCAATAAAAGTGTGCATTATATCTTTGATATCTAAGGTTTCTTTAGTTTTTACAATAACTCCTATTATTTTGCCTACCAAAAAAATAACTCCTATTATTTTTGACATTAATAATATTTTTGAATTTAAAAATCACTATTAATAACAAAAAATCTAGTTAAAATAATTTGCATTAATTTTTTTGCTCAAACAGAAATACAATTGCCAACATGATCAACAACAATTGAGAAACCATTTATATCTATCAACCAATGATACGATGACATTATAAACACAAAGCAAATAATTAGATATGCTCAAACATGTAAATCAAATAAATCCCGCAAGGGAATCCACAAGAATGAGTAAGAAGAAAACCTTCTTACCGGAAGAAGAATTTCAGCTTGGACGGTTGAACCACCCGGCAGAAAACCCGCTCGTTCCAGGCCGAGGTCCACCGACCACCGCTCAAATTCATGACACCAACACTAACCATTGTCGCAGAGCATGACTGGATGAGAGATCGAGCCATTGCTTACTCACAAGAGCTAAGGAAGGTCAACGTAAATGCTCCCGTGCTAGAGTACAAAGACGCGGTTCACGAGTTTGCAACTCTCGACATGCTTCTTAGGACTCCGCAACCTCAGGCTTGTGTAGAAGATATTGCAATCTGGGTCAAGAAATACATCTCTCTCCGTGGCAACGAGTTCTCATACTAGTGTTCACCGGAAACTCCATGTGGCAAAAAGAGGTGAACCAAAAGTAAAACGGGATTTTCGGGTTTTGTTGTTTCTACCCGGAAGCAAAAAAAGCAAGCGCGAGAGGTTTTCTCTCTCCCTGAGTAGAGTTAGTTTAGAGAGGTGTTACTTTGTGAGATGAGTCGAGTGAAAGACTCTGGTCGTCTCGGGGCATTTCCCGTATATTAAACTCTATTTACGTTACCCTCTTCTATTTAGAGTTCAAGCTTTTGTTGTAGATCATCGTATCGAGTAACGTCCGTTTTTGGTTAACCCGACCAAACCTAATGCAGACCAAAAAGATTGATCTATATACCAAATCTTAACTTGAATTTGTTTTATTTTTTTCTTTGATAGTCTAACTTCTTAATAGATAATAACCGAATTCTTTTTTCAATGATCTCGCGGTATGAGGTTCGAATCGAAGTTTGTTTTACTAACAATCCGTATTTTTTGATTAACCATTCTGAAGTTTAGTCATGTACATTTTCAGTAGCTAAAAATATCACCCGAGACAAAATAACCGTTTGTTTCACCACTCGTAACATTTAGCCCAAAGAGTTCAAATACAGGCGCTAAATTTAACCCAAAAAGTCTTTTTACTGTGGTTCAAGGTGTCTTTTATATCAGTCATATAATGTACTTGAACCTTTTATGTTATGTATTGATAATAATGAAATAAGCCTCGTTTGAGATAAGATTTGCGCCTAACATGGAAACAATCGATCTTAGAAACAAAAAGGACGGGGTTATCAGACAAACCGGTCAAGATACTCATCGATGCTTGTGTACTTCACCTGAGGGTATAGCTCGGAAGCCTCAACTCCAAAAGAAGGGTCTATATCGAAGGAGGTATGATCGCTCTTCACAAATAGCGTATGGATCAAACCCATGGCAAAATCAATTGGTGGCTGACTCTCTGCAAATGCAAGTAAAAAACCACACAAAAGACAAGACTTATAATACTGTTGACTGATAACAATTCGATATAAAATAAATCTATTGTCATGTTTGAAGTGATCACCTTGGATGCTTTTGAGGAGCTCTTCCTCTGAAACATAAGTCTTCTCGAGTCTCTTACCGATCTTTCTCTCCCAAAAACCGACCATATCGTTCTGCGATACAATGTTCTTGGGCGGGTAAATGTAGAGAATCTTGTTAACTGTTCTCGGGTCATCAACAGCTTTTATTGTATATGTAGCAATGTCTTCTTCAATATTGAAAATGGCTGCAACAAAAATAAATCAATACCAAACATACACAAGTAAATAGAGTGTAACGTACATGCATATATATCGAGTACCTTTGCCATTGCCACTGTCGTAGATAGAAACTTTATCTCTAGGAGGAGATGTGAGTCGCAAGTGGCATTGACCTAGACATGGAACGAAGAAACTAGCAAAACAACCTGTGACCACATACGTATAAGGTATCTTTGCAGCTTCTATGGCACGCCTTATCTGAGCTTTCCTGTTGTAATTTGATAGCGTCGCAGTCGCTGGCTCGATGGCCACAGTACGATCCACGTCGTTGTCAAACTCCGATGGTAAAAATCTCTGGATGAATAATATGATGTTCTAAATCTTTTAGAGCCTATTAGAAAGGGTGTGTGTTGTATCATCATAAATAATCATTTGAAAAACTGACCTTAACATTTCCAGATTCTTTGATAGCATCGATGATATTGACTTGATCGAGAATTTGAGCCCGATCAACAGCTGATATCACGACTTCGACTTGTTTAATTGCATTCACTAAGCTCTCTTTATCAGTTAAACTTCCCTGTTGTCATCATCAGTATCTAGTTCTTATTAAATTCTAAGATTTAATGTTATTGAAATAATTTTTCAAAATATTTCATTATTCAATTGAGAATTTGGAAAATTCACTTATTAAACTTTTATGTTGTTACTTATTAGGAAAAAACAGAGCTATTTATTTTGTTGGAAATTCAAACACCCTAATAACTGTATACTTATAATTAAAAGGAAGGAGGTTAGAAAAATCATAAATTTGTATAGTTTCCGTCTTTTTTTTTAAAATGAAAATATTATTTGATATCTAAATAAAATTAACTAGGATATGACCCGCGGTACACCGCGGGTTAATTATTTGATTTTTTTTTATTTTTTTAGAAACTGATGAATTTGTTGTGTATGATATTTTTTTTTGTATACTGCGGGTCACATGGTTGTATATAAAAAATAAAATTTTAAGTTGCATTTGTTTTGTTTACTGTTTAAGATTGTATAATTGAATTTTGATTTGTTAATTCTAAGATTTCATCCGTGGTATATTGTCCCGTATTAATATCGACCCAAACTCGTCCCACCATATACTCTTGTCATGTGGAATTAAACATCATTTTGTTATTTTTAATAGCACTTTTATTTAAAAGACATATAATTTGAGTCAATTTTAAAAGTTTACTTTCAAATGGTTTCCATAACATATAGTTTAAAATTAGTATGTATTTTTGGACCAACCCGTAAAAACAATTTATCATTGTATCTTAAAATACTAAATAATTGTATTTTGATTTGTTAATTTTAGTATCTCACCCGTGGTAGTATCCGTTTTAGATAATTGTAGAAATTAAGATAAGATCTGAATGACTCAATTCGGGTCAGAATAAAAAAAAACGACATGATTAATGTGCAATTTGTTCTTAAAAAAATGTTAATATAGATTACACACATACTTTTTTTTTCTTCATCAATTGAGTAATATATGTATGTTTTAAAAAATTTGAATCATAACATATGCAGAAAAAACTAAAATTTATTAACTATATATATTTTATAATAATTCAAAATAATATAAATATAAGATCAAATAAAAGTGAAATGAGAATCATATATTTATGTTTAAATTAGGTAGAGAGTTTTTAGGAAATTAGCTCAAATTTGTTATATTAGCATTAAATTATCATATTTGATTTCCTTATCTATAAAAATTGTAAAGAATATACCATAAATAAATAGTTTAGATATAGTAATTAGTTGAGAAAATATATATAATTTAGATTTTATTATGGATTTTCGTTTTTAAATTTTACTATAATTTAAGGAAAGATCCGATTGAAGATTTCCGGGTCAAAATCATAAAAAAACCCGACCCGATTAGAGGAGCAAATTTGTACTTCAAAAATGTTAAGTAGATTTAGCCAATAATAAAATATGAGGTACAACAATACAAATGGTTAGAAGACGAGAAGAGAATAATAGTTAGTCACGTACGTAAAGTATGGTAACGCCGAGATCTTTGAAGCTCTCGACGAGTTTGGCCTTAACCGGATCAGAGAGAGAGGCCTCTCTAACTAGAGCGAAAGTGGCGTGACCGGACTTGGCGCTTTCCTGGACGATGACTTTTCCGATGTTACCTGTCGCTCCGATGACCAGAATCTTGCTCGTCATCTCTATGCTATTTTCGTCGAGTTGGGTTTTACAGAACAGAGAAAAGACTCACATTTATAGACTTATAGTCTTCATATTTTTGTTCCGTGGAGCCGACGGACCTTGTCTTGTCTGAGCTACCTTACTTTGACCACAAATTGCGTTGTGGAATTTTATTTTTCACTTTCAGAATCACGATGGTAGAAAAAAGTTGGATTTGTTAGGTTTGCTTTGGAATTTTCAAATTTAGCTGTTGGTTTTCAACGATCATCGATTGACTTTTTAATCTCAGTCACAGTTTACATCTATACTATTAATTGGGAAGCATTAAAAAATAAATAACCTTATAAAGGGTAGAATATTACAGAAAATGCCACTGGAAATATTGAATATGAAGAAGGAAAAAAAAATCGCAAAAGGATAAAATAGTCAATTTTATTTGTTGACCCGATCAAAAACACGCGGATCCTTCATACCCGTTTGAAGCCGTTTTTTTTACCCGACACTACCAATAATAAATAGATTTAATATAAGCCCATTATGCTTATCTGATTCAATTTTATATTGGGCCGAATATATTTTAAACATTCATTGATTTCCATTACAAGCCCATAGATTATAAAGCATGAACATCTAAGTTTTAATAAGTTTGTAACACGTGAATTTTTTTTTTTTTACAGCATAACACGTGAATCTTTACAACTTGATATTTTCATTATTTTAATATTATAATAGAAAGAGCATTTTACGTATATAAATCCTAAAATACAAACAGCTTTCCAGTTAAAACCAAAAAACCATAATCTTTCCTTCATGATTGTTGAAATTGCAACCACAAATTTTGGATATTAATTCCCTATTAGAAACAACCTAACATCAAAATATTTAAATCAAAGCTCATGAATCATGATGATGATCATATGAACTTCAACTTCTTCAGCCCAATACACGCGGATCTTGGACTGAGTTTTCTGGGTCATGGAGTGGATTTTGGTAGCAGTGATCCATCCGAATTAAACCAATTTCCATATAAAAAAAAAACTAAATCAATCATTTTAGGAAATAAATTAATTACAAAATTAATTAGCTTATGTATTCTCCACATTTGATGGGTTGTTTCGAATAGAATCATTTACAAATTAAGATCTTTTAAACAATTATAAAAGTTTAAATTTTGAATTTATTAGGAAAAAATAGATCAAATCATTAATTAGTTTACGTAATCTACGTTTTTATGGATAATTTCCAATATTAGCATGTGCGATTAATTTTTTTTATAAATTTCCAAATATTAACTTTACAAATTAGTTCACGTAGTCTACAAATTTTATGGTAGTTTTCCATAAAATATTTAAACGAAATAAATCATTTATGCTTGAAAATAATCTTACGTAAAGATTGCTATCCTTAAAAGTGAAGCATATTCTACGGAATTTTTTCAAAAAATCTTCTATCAATTATTTTTCTTTAAATGCATTAATCCTAAAATATATTAGCCGACTCTCTTGATGCTATAAATATAGGGTTTGTTTGCATGTTTATCATCACTCAGTACTCATCTCTTCTTTTCCTTTCTATTGCTTTATTGATCTAATTTTCAAAGATGGCTGTAAATCTTGATTTCACAAGCCTTGCTCATGTTGAACTTTTTCAAAACTCAATGGGGGGGTTCAAGTTAAGATATTGCATTCGTGGACTCAATATACTGGAGAGACCATGGAGATGATTCTCGCCAATGAATATGTAAGCAAATAGATTCACATATAGTTATTTGTTTACATGGCTTTGAATCTTAATGTTTTCTTTCTAACAAATTCTATTTTAGCATTTCTAAGGTAGTTTGATTCATGCATCTTTCAAAAAGCAACAGTTTAGTATGCTAAAGAGATTCTATTCGAACTGGAGAATGGTGATTTATCGAAAACTTCACACTGTCAACAGCTATGGAAAAGTACAGGGCAACCAAACATGCCTACAAAATGTCTCTCATGAACAAAACCTATAAGTCCTTGTGCTTCAATCTTTGATGATATGTATTTTGATTGTACTACCTTTGATGATATATATCTTGAATGAGGAAGGGTTGAACGATAATTTCTTGATTTGTAATTATATAAATTATAACTATGTCAATGTTTTGATAGAAGCTTATTCAATTACTAACATAACTTACAATTTTTTATTTTATTTTTCAGACTTACTCGGTCATGTAAAGAGTATTGGTGAAATAAAAACTTGTGATGTTTCTAACAAGCCTACACGCTACACTATTAACTGTTATCAATACAATAAAAACATTAAGAGTCTCTCCATGCCTGACACCTCAGCTTTTTAAGCTATTCTCATGTTGACACCTCATTAAAATTGTCACCCAATAAAAACATTTCGATTAATACAACTCATCATATCTCAGCCAATAACAATTTTTCTATGTTCCACATCATTTTTTTTGTTAAAACTTATTTATTATCTTGGGCTTATTGTTTGAGAAAAAATGGGCTTATTGTTTGATAAGAAGTGGGTTTATTATTATTCAGATATCATTAAAATATTGGATAATTATATCATTATGTCTTTGCTCCTTTGACTAAGGGCCTTACTCTTATTATTCGAACTCCTAACAATTTGACAAAGATCACATTGCCCTAACTCTTACATGGTAACTAGATATGAAATTGCAGATATGTACTTGTTTATTTTTCTTTACGAATTTTAGTATAAATTGTGTAGAAGAATCATAATCATAAAAATGATGATGATGATCATACAATTATCTAGGGACTTGTGTGGTGGTGGCGGTACAATTAATGGGTAACAAACCATCAGTTAAGTCGTTACCAAAGGTACAATTAATGGTTAACAAACCATCCCCTCTATGCCGGGATAGTTTTTTAAAAAACAATTTGTGAATATTGAATTTTTAAAAATATGACTTTTATTGTTTTGAATTGGATTAATCATAAAAGTATGGGTTACACCATCATAACTTTATAAGATATAGGAATGCAGTAAAAGAATCAAAATAGAGACAAATCTATGATGATTTGTATTATTGTTATTAGAAGTGTTCACATTTAAATCAAGTAGAGTTAATTATATTTGTGGAGCTAAACAAGATTTTATGATCGTCTGCTTAATCTACATAGGACAATTGCAGTGTTGCATAATTGATATAATTTGAGTTGAGTTAAAAAGTAACTTTGAACGATGCTTAAAACATATTCAATTTGGTAATAATGAAAGTAATGTAAATAAAGTAACATCCAATAGCTAGGAAATATATGTTTTACGTATTTAAATGGTTTTGTTAGAGTTTTCTATATTAGTTTAATTACAAAATTTGCGATCCTTATCTTTCTTCATCGGTATAAGTTTCCATCATTAGAAACCTATTTCAATGAAAATATACGTTATTAACTTTATGATAAGTGATTTTAATAACCATATCCTTAAATGATAAGTCATGTTAATAAATTCAATATGTTTTATTTAATTGTAATTACAAACTATATGATTAAATTATTACAAATAATATATTAAATAAAAAATATTTCAAAAGTATCCCGCAGCGTAGCGCGGGTTTCGATCTAGTGATATTTAAAAACAATAAGGATTTTCTATTGTAGTGGTTAACCTTTACATGGAAATGTGTATTAATTCGCCTCGCCAAAGTCAATACATAGAAAAATATATTATCCTTTGTAAAAGAGATTAGCCCTGTTTAAAATGTATAGATATTTATTTTAACTCTTTAATATATTTGCAGGTGAAATATACTTATCAAACTCCTTTGACAGTTATCCTGTGGTTAGAGAGTTTGTCTCCACATATGTAATAGTAATTGATTCATAGTATAGATAGTATAATTGTTTACATTATAATATATACCGCACAATATGTATCACAAAACAACAAAACAATCTAAATCGAATTACAATTTATTATAACATTTTTAAAAATACAAAATCCCGCACGTACGTGCGGGTCAGGATCTAGTTTTTATATATAAACGTTACATAAAAATACTGAAATTTTTACTCTCATGAACTTAACTATGACGTAAACTACATGTTTGGCGCTTTCATATAAACCCATCCAAATATCATTATTCAACAAAAACATTAGTGAAATAGATTTATTAAAAAAATTAATAATACATGCGAGAAAACATTAATAGTAAAAGAAATAAATATTTTATATAGAAAAAATAAATTTGGTATCTTACCAATGTAATTTGATGACATGTTTTAAGATTTTTTGCATCTCTGAGATTTTTTCACCCACGTCCGATACAATAACGATTATCGTCTACTCTAAAGTTTACCCAATATGAATTGTTACTGTCCCGAATTTCTACTTGAATACAGTTTTGTGGAATTGGAACTCACGGGCTTTTTATTGTGTTTTCAATCTTATCTTTTGGCAAAAACAAACGATTTTAAAACACACATAATGTTTTTTTGGTGTTTTCTGTATCATCATATTCAGATCCATTTTACTAAAATTTTAAGTGTCTTTGAAATATAATAAAGAACTAGATTTTAACCCGCAATATACCGCGGGATAATTTATTTTTAAAGTATATAAAATTTTGCAAATTGTTTACAATTGTTATTAAGTAACGGTATACCACGAGTCCACGAGATAATTAATAGAGCATGTGCAGTGCATAGAGACTTTGCAAGTCTCTCAAATATATTATTTTAATACATATCATTTATTTTAATTTTAAATAATAAAAGAAAATTAAAAACCAATTATATTCTGACATGTGTAAAGGTAGTCTCTCAAAGGTTATCAAATGTTCTCAAATGAGAATCAATTCTGGTTTCTCTCTCCCACTTTTTATTATTTTCTTATTTTTTATTATTAAGAATCCATGTGAGAACTCCCCACTGCACATGCTCTTAATAAACTAAGGATTAACTCCTATTAAAGAGGCATGTTAATGATATTTTAAAATTTTATAAATATTGATTCAAACCCGTCCGCCATATAAACCCGTTCTTAAATATAACCCGTCCCGTAATTTCTTAACCCGTCCCG